TAGTATCTGACCTTTTAAGTGCTTCTGTTAGGAGCAGAAGTCACAGTAAAGGTCACAGGTTTGCAAAGTCTTAATAACCAATAATTGCATTCAGTTTTTCAAGTTAACTTCAGCTGTGCTCTTGAGCTAGAAGAGGGCTGATAATACACAGGGAATGGAGAAGAAGCCCCTTGTACTGACCAGAGAGCCATAGTGTAGAAAAGGATTTTATCTTCTGTCAGTCAGGGAAAGAAGCCAAAACAAACTGAAATTAAATGTTCCTGCATGGGGTGGGAGCTGTCTTCTGAGAAGTGTATGCTTTTATTAAATTATGCTCCAATCTGTGGATCGGTAGTAACTATTGTAGCTGAAACCATGATGCAATTATGTAACCAAAATATAATTAGGCAAGAAAGTCCCATTTTGCAATGAGATATAATATCTTCTACTATATATCTTCTACTGCACCACAGCTAGACTCCCATGTAAAAATAAGACTTTGAAATGATGGTCTGCACTGTGGATTTTGTCATGTCAAGAGACACTTAGGTTCCCAGCACAGCCACCGTGGATAAATTAATGTGACCAAAGATAAGAGTTGGGTTCCGTTGATTAGACATATTTGAATAGTGTCATTTTAGGCAATGCCAGTGTAGCTAGGGAATGCAACTTCCATGAGCATTTCTGCCAACCACTAACAGATGTTTTGGAAGCCCAAAGACAACTCAAGTGGCAGTAGGTGCCTAATTTCAGATAGCTTTCTTATTCAGGGTGAGATGGACAGATATCCAGGTTCCAGTGGATCCCTCTAGAGGTAGCAGAGCCTGTCTCCACTGACTACTCAATACTAGTGTGCATGCAAGCACTTACAAGAAAACATCTGAAATCAGGTGTGTTGTTCTAAAGCTAAATCCTATCCCAATTATATAGAACTGCAAAACCCGAGACTGCAGCAAGAACTTCACCTCAGACTGTTTCAAATATGTTGGGATCAACTGCAGCCATGGCTATCGCGTCTTTCAGCTGAAATACCCTTTTAATTTGATTGACTTAATCCTACTGATAATGATAGCAGGAGGAGATAATCCTTCACTGAGGTGAGAAAGAAAATAAACACACAGGCAACTGTTTGCGTGGGTCACCCTCCCTGACTATCCTGCAATTACCTCCATGGCTTGCAGGATGAAGTTTGGGGTTCACCCTTGAATGTGAACATCAGCATGGAGAGTGGCGGTTCTAGTTCTTCCGCTCTACCTGAGAATTTGAGTCTTTTTTAGCAAAGTTACTCTCAGCACCACACTGCAAGAAAACCATACTATCGTTATGGCTGTTATTTCAATTTTAGAGTTGGAAAGTAGGCTGGAGAAAGGCCATATTTTTAAGGTAACGCTGTGACTACTGTAGACACACATAGCCCCAGGTGAGATCTTTAAAGCACCTCAGATTCTAATTTCCTTTGAAAATTTAGACATTGTGTGTCTACATGCTTTTGAAATTTCCACCAGGGTCCTGTTGGCTGGTTCATTGCCTAACTAGCTTGTAAAAAGGAACTTTTGGATGCTAATTCTCAAATTGTTCTCTCTTCAGTTTGCTTTGACTTCAGTGAATAATCCTTTTCCTACCTGACTCTAATTCCAGATTCACTCCTGAAGTCCATCCAGCACAAATGCTCCATGGTGGTACAGAGTTCAGATAGTGAGTTCTGCTGCCGTGTTTTCTTCTGAACGTGGCAAAAGCTAAGGGGCTTCTGCTCATAGCCCTGCATTCATCCTGCATCTTTACCATCAAAAAAATTCCAACATATAGCCTTACCATAGTGCTATGGGTTGCTGATCCCATACATTTTTGTTAGCTACTTAAATATATCAAGGAAAATTGGTATCATGACTTTTACAGGTAGCTGTTCTACCACAGCTTCATAGAAAATCTTAAGGATAAATGTAAGTTTAATACCCAGCCTGCAAACATATCCAATTCCTGTTTTCTTCTAGCAACACGAGACACATCCATCACTGTTTCCTTTGTAACCACATTCTCCAAACATGGAAACTGTGAAGAACATTCTTTTTGCTAAAGAAAATAAATTAATATCCTCATGGTTTATCTTTTAAAGTTTTTATAATACTTTTATGTGTCCTCCATATTTGATCTGTCAATTTCAATTTAAAGTGGATTTATCTTCAATTAGCAATGTTGCTGTTAATTGACACTGTGTGAATTTAAAATAATGTAGTGAAATTGAAAGAGCAGACAAAAATTGCAAAATAGTTTGTTTACAGAACCTTTTTTTGATAAATTTCAAGTTATTAAAATGTTTGAGCCATTTATCAACAAGCTACTTTTAATGTAAAATTATAATTACAAATATAAGTGAAAAAATCCTTTTACTGAAGGCTCAGTTTTCTTTATGACAAAAACTGACATGGGATTTGAGTAGACGTAATTGAAGATGGCACTAGTAAATATGAAATGGCTTCATCCACCAACGAGATAACTCTGTCTCTCAGGTTATCTCAGGAGAGATTTTTCTGTTGCCTGTAAGCTACTGCTCAAACACCTTATGTGCCTATGACAACATATACAGAATGGCAAAGCTTTCAAAGAGAGATGTATTCTGAATGTCAGAAGTGACAAATTTCCTTGATATCTCCTATGATTTTCCAAAGCTATAAAATACAGTGCAGGAGAATTAGCTTATAGCTTTGCTGTAATTTCCCTAGCTAGTAAATTCAAGCTCTTTCTCTGCATTTAAATGTGTTTTATCATAGGAAGTTAACTTTATAATTCTCTATATGAGTTTAAAATTCAGGTCCTGATCTGGGGTGATGAAGTTAAGCAACTCTGAAGTTAAACGTAAAAGAGGATTTTGTGCTACTTCTAAGAACTGCTGCATCCTTATAAAAACTATCCAAGCCGCCCCCCCCCCCCCCCCCAAAAAAAAAAAAAAAAAAAAACAACTATTTGTGTGTTACAAATAGTCCACAAAAAAATCACAATGCAGTTGTCATATCCAAAAGGAAAGTAACATAGGATATCCATGACAAACGTCCCTGAGAAACTAATATGGCCAATGCGAGCACTCGAAAGACTTGGAAGAAGCTGTAAATATTCAAATAGCTTTTTCCATCATATCAATAATGTGTTGTTTTCTGTCCATGTTAAGCCATTTTAAGACGTGTTGTAGCAAATGCACAATGTTATATAATGTAATATTAGAAATGTCTTCACCTATTTCTCATAAATTTGTAAAGTTCTGGTATTTAAAAAGCACTTTCTACCTTTTTTTTTTTTTTTTTTTTTTTTTTTTTAGGTGTAACTAATGATTTGCCAAGAATGATATTTAAGAAAACAAAATGGAGCAGCTAACAATCCATAACCCATAGGGCCTTCCCACCATGCGTGCTTCTGGGAAAATAAAAGCTACCAAACTAAAATAACTCATATTGTTCAAATTCACACAACTGCACTTTTTTTTAAGCAAACGCTTCTTGTTTGCTCTGCACATGCACATCAAAAAACTATTTTTTAAGTGGAAGAGTTCTAGGGGAAGGGAGAAAACAGGAGTTTTCAGTTTAATATGGAGAAAAGCTTTATGCAAAGCTGCATGCCTGCCAGCCCTTCACTCCCAGCACTGAGACATCAAGATGATGACTTTTTATGTAAGTCTCATGAAAACTGGCAGTGAAGCACATGGATGAAACACAGAATTGTAGGTTCTGAAGGAGAGACAGTTCTGAGAAAGGCATTCCTATCTAAGCTCACTGTCTGTTCTGAGGTAGCAGCTACCTTTCTACTGAACATAGACAAAGGCTCTATGTTTTGCTTACAACAAGGCACATCAGTAACCAGCATACTAGTTAGAATAGCAAGGCACATTAAAGCTTGAAACCAAGTTGTTCCTGTGTAGTAGGTACAGAAGTTGTAACTATAATTCTAATTTCATTTTAAGCATACTTCCAAAATGCTATTAGATTATTTTTCATTTTTTCAAGTGCTCGGTTCATGTTATTGCTGTTAATACATAACTCAGTATAGCTGGGATCTGTAATCTATAGAATATAGCCAAAAAAGGGTGAACTTCAAAAATACTCTTTTATTTATGTAAATAATTGAGCTCTAGTACGACTGACGAACTTATAAACTTCCATTGTCACACCTGTCAAACAGCTGATCCATAAGATTTACCCATAAGCTGTATATATCTTCTCAACAGTAAGAAGGTGGTTGACAGAGAAATGCAATAAGTTGTTAATAACTTTTATTCTTTGACATGTTTTCTTCTTGTACATAACATCCAAATGAATAGCAGTATAAGAGTATTAATTTTTCCTTAAGAAGAATCTGTTCCATTTGCTGTTCAGAACACATGGCAGTTCTAAAGCATATCGGATAAGCCCAGCTCACATAGCTGACTCAGTGAGAATTAATATTCATTAAAAACAATGAGGTGATACTGCCCTGATTTACAGTACCTACAGGAAGCTGGTAACAATAGTCACTGCTGGGCCAGAATGCCCTATTTCACTCTTAATTCAAGCATGCATGAGCACCAGTCCATGACTTACTAGGTCCTGCTGTTAATCCAGCACAGAGCATAATGAAGGGTGAATTTCCACTTCAGACTTGGTGCCTCTGCACTATGACACAGCTGTGGCTTACGATGTGTTACACAAATTCCTTCATTGGCACACAGGGTCCAAAGATCTAAAATGTCAGTGCTTAAATGTCTATCTGAATTGTAAGTAAATAGCCTAATATCCTGGGGCCGTTTTACCTCAAGCAGTTGGAAACAAGCTGAAGAACACTGGAAGATTTGTTAGTGCATTTTGGTATCCAAAACTAGAAATAGACTATTTCAGGGTACTTCAATTGTTAACTAAGATTATATTAAAAAGGATTTCATGCAGCTGGAACTGGTAGAGGGATTGGGAATGCCCAGGCAGACCCTTTCCATTCAGTGCTGAAAACAAAAGCAAGTTTCAATGATCAGTGATGATTTTATGAAAAAATTTATCACTTACAGTGGTCAGTCAGGTACCCCTTGGGAACAGTGTAGCATTAAGCATGTTTATGAAGCAGCCAATGCATGGAGAAACAGCTTGTAATTTAAGAGAAGACTTGCACCTCAGTGTTGTACACAATACAAAAAATTTGCTTCACAGATGCATTCACACAATTTCTTTCTCTTGAAGGCTTTCCTGCTTCCGTATTGCAGAGAAGCTCCTGAAAGTCCACACACTGAGCTGTGCAGGTCATTCAGCTTCTGCATCCAAAAAATGCTGCATGAACAGCAGCTATCCCTGTAGAAACCACCAAGGGCCACTGCCTGCAGCCAGAGGGGAAAAAAATACAAACACAAAAAGATTAGTAGAATTAAAAAAAAAAAAAAAAAAAAAACAGATTAGTGAAAGGACAAGATGCTTCCTGCTTGACTTTGATAGATCACTTTGGCTATGCTTAAAAGAATGAATTAAATAGCATGAAGGAATGTTCCCAAGCACAGGAGTTTGACTTACATGGTGAAACTGTTAAAATGACCCAAATTGGCACTGAAAGTCACCCAGATGGTTTCTGCTTTGAAAGACAATGTAGGCCTGTAGGAATTCCCAACAGGCAGTTTTACTATAAGCACTATATTCTGGTGCTGAAGGCACTATATTCTGGAAAAAAAAAAGAACTGAAGAGGCAGTATTCTGACTGCTGGCCTCCATGACAGAGACCAGCCCTGTATGCACTTAATACCTAGTGCAGATGTTAGTACTGGTTTCAGAAGGGCAGGCATTGTTAGCTCTCCATGAGCTAGGTTCAGCCTTGAGATGGGCACACAAAGCCCTTGCAGCATGCCTGGGAAGAGCTATCAACCTGAGTTGATAGTTATCACACATTTCCCAGCAAAGTCTTGGACAACAAGCTAGAAGTCATTTTTGTTTGTGGCTGCCCTAAATTTCTGCAGAAAAATGCCTGCAACAACCTAACGCAGCAAGTGATGGCAAAGCTCTCTTGGAGATTAAGTGCCAGGTTCCAGTCCCAGCTCTGAACCATGTTTGTTTATTTTATTCACTAACTGTTTAACATTTAGTACGTAAACTCTGCTTGGAACAAGAAAAGGAATCCACAGTTCATCCTTTTTGGGCAAGTTTCCTGATTAAAATCTTGGATTAAAATCTCATGCTTATTCTTGCATGTTCTGTTTAGTCCAATGACTTTCCAGTTCTTTGCTGCACAGCAAGAAAGCTTCGAGAAAGATGGGAAACATCTGAAAGATCCTAAGATTGTCTCTAATTCAGGTGGTCTCCAATAGATGGTTTTGAACCTTTTCAGCATAAAAGCTTGTGGGGGGTGTTCTCTATTCCCTGTGTGAATTACTCACAATATCCAATCTAGGTCAACTACCTAGATTAAATTGATTATTGCTTCTCTTTCCCGTGAATCAATTAGTTTATCTCATAAAAGCTGTTGTTCTCATTCCCATAGATACATCATAGGTACGTTTTGGATACATTTGTATTAAGTCTTACAGGGTTCTAAGTAGGAAGGTTAACGAAAGAGTCCCAGTTTGGATCCAGATAAGACAGTCGCAGAAAGAAGCGTGTGCAGAGCAGAGCCTTAGGCACCTTTGCAGTTTCATCAGTGATAACAAAGCATCTGAGGAACCGAGGTTTTCAGATTCTCATTTTTCTTCCTCAGCTGACATCTTAAATTCTAACAGTATTCATTTTCAGAATTCACTTGAGGTGATTACACACTTCATGGCCCTCTGCATCACTTTTTCATGTTGCATACAGCTAGCACTAGTTGCCTACTTATGGATGGGGTTTTAAGAACAGCTGCTGAAAATTAGGAAGTTTTTCTTCTGCTATTAAAGACATCCTTGGATGTAGTTTTCCTCATGATTGCTGAAGGTTGAATGCTGTTGTCATTAAGTTAATTCAGCGTCAGCACAGAGATTGAATGGAAGAATGAAGATATCCTTCAGTCAAGAAGGAAAAAGATTGGGAAATACAGCCAAAGACAAGGAAGAATGTGGAAGAGAGAAGTAATGGGAAGGGGCAACTTTGTCCTTCAGATCTCCAGAAGCACACAGGTAGGTAATAACTCATTATTATGATGATCAATTTGAATAAATGGTAAAAAGTAGTTTTGTGCAAAGCTTACGTTTGTATGGTGCCATTTAAAGTGGGGTACTAAATTTTGATTGGATGGGTAATGACATCTTAGTTACTGCACTGAAATAACAAACTGAAAGAAATGCAAGATTCAGAATGCACAGTGTGTATGTTGAGTATGTTTAGGTTAAACTAAGAAAACAAAGGTAGTAACCGTCCATAAGAGACCAGCTTCACAATATCTTAGTCCTTAGTGTTGAGAGTATGCTGGCAGGATCTGAAAGCAGTTTCTTCCAACTCATTCTGCCTGGGTGATCAAAGAAAACAGATTTTGATAACCTGAAATTAAGAATGATGCTTAGGTTCTGCATTTGGATAAACAAACAAACAAATAAACAACTAAATAAACAAGTAACAACAACAAAACATTTGAGCATAGTCATTTTGAGCCATCTTGTGGAAGACATAATGCATTAATAATGATCTGAAGGAAAAGTCTCATCTAAGCCATCTTTTGGATAGTCCTAGTGAGTTCATTAGACTAATATTTTGTTTCTTCCACACCTTTAGAAATTTTGCTTGGTAAAAAAAGTTTTTAGTTTCATAAGCAATTCTATTGCAAAATTTTAATTGTATTCTGGGAGCAATGTAAAATAGATTCCCAAAATTTCATGGCCTGTTGAGGGCATCAGAGAGGCTAAAGCTGGACTGAAGCATTTTGGGTTGGGCAAAATAAAGATGTGTGCTTCTCCAATTTATATTACTTCTGGGATTCTTTCCCCTTTTTAAGTAAGAAAGGCTGAAAGACAGTGTATCTGATTTAAGTTATTTTACTGTGTATTTCTGCCATACTTTGAGATATAAATAGCAGAATAAACAGTCAAGTACGCAAGCAAAGTTGAAAAGTCAAAGACCAGTGCTTGTTTCTACAGTATTTCTAGCTTGCATACATGCCAAGTGCAATATCATGTAACAAAAATTCTGGACAAGAACTAGATTTGGGGTTTCTTCATTTCCCACTGACTCCCCAACATTCTAAAAAAAAATTTAAAAAACTGTATTAAAGTCACCAACGATTAACATAAGGGCAATCATATGTTTATGATTGAAATTCCAGAGCTAAAATAAAATATTCTTTTCCATTCTTAACCATTCTTATTCAGTGTTCTGAAGTGGGAAGATGTGCTTTATCTAGTATTTATGTGCAAGTAATATTTATTATAAAATAATGATAGGCATAAGATTGTCTGCAGAGAATATTTGATTATGAATACTACTTATCTGAAACTTCATGACTATAAGTATAAAAAAATAGACAAGCTTGCACAGTGAAAACAACTTGAAGCCGTTAGAATGCCAATCTTTTAATGATCTCTACAGATACAAATAAATTAAAACGGATGTACTGATTGCTGAATAAATACCTATCCTAACTGGGCTTTGATTTGAAGTTACATCATCCAGATTTGTCCATCTATCCAGAGAAAATCCTTTACCCATTATAATATCTGTCTATCTAGATTATCTAGATATTATGATATCTAGAGAGACAGATATTATGATATCTATTTATTTAGATATTATGATATCTATCTATCTAGATATTATAATATCTAGATAGATAGATATCATAATATCTAAATAAATCTAGATAAGTCTAAATATCTAAATAATATCTAGATAAGTCTAGATATTATAATATCTAGATAGATAGATATCATAATATCTATCTCTCTAGATATCATAATATCTAGATAATCTAGATAATCTAGATAGATAGATAGATAGATAGATAGATAGATATTTTAATGGGTAAAGGATTTTTTATATGACTTTTTCTATATGTGACCAAAATATTTAGAATATTAGAAATATCTAGAATATCAAAAACATCTGTGACATGTACCTGAGCTCTAATGCACAAGATGATTTATGATTCTTCATTGCCAGGACGTAAAACTCTGCTGAAAGTACTGTGAAGAATCACATTCACATTAGTGACTTGAGATGAAGAAGAAAATAGAACTGCTTTACTTCACTTATTGCAATTTTAATAATGTTATAGCAACATTTGAATATCTTGTGTTCATATTCTGTCACTAATATACAAAGAGGGTTGAAGTCTGTTTTATAAACCTACTGCCCAAATGTCTTTGTTAAGATACTCTGAATTTCTGCTCCTGTTTGGCATTATTTATGTGTTTTAACTTATCTATTTCTATAGGAATTCCAGGCTCTCATGTCGACATTGAAGTGATTTCTTTTTAAAACCCTGATCTTTCAATGTTTTCTTGACTAATGGTTGAATTTGTGAATCCTGTAAATGTGAATGCAGTCTGAAAATGGAGACAGTTAATCTAGGAACACTTATTCTGCTGCTATTTAACCACAGTCTCCTGGGATGAGCTGAGTGGAAAGTATGGGATGTCTAAAACATTTACTATACTGGATGAGAAATTGGTGTTAGGTTTCCTTTTGAGCTCCCTCCAAGCACTTGTGACATTGGACTTATCCATTAGACTATGATTTCTGGAGTAATTTTTATAGGAGGTGAGCTAATAGATGCAAAAGATGAATGGCTGGCTAGAACACATCAAGAATACAGCTTATCTAAACAAGTATAAAACAAGTATACTTCTTCTACACTAATAGTTAAATATGCTAATTACCAGTCTTAGGTCACCTGTAGAGGAGGAATCCTGATGACAAATAATGAGATCCAGCGTGCCACACAGTATGTGGCAGAGTAAAGAGTAAAACAGAGGTATAAGATAGCACTGCTTGAGATAAGCTGATGACAGCCTTGTGACAAACTGCTTCCTATCTAGAGAAGTAGATAAATAAGGAAAGAACAGAGGAGAAGCAGATGCGAGGTGACTTCCCCAAAGAAAGTCGGTGACGAAATCAAACTCAGAGATCACACACCCCACATCAGTTTTTTTCACCCCATCTGGGATATCCATCTTATAGTGCAGAGGGCTGCTTTTTTTCTTCATTATCCAAAAAAAATTTTATGGCACTGGATATCCATTCCAACAGCAGTTGTTCATTAATAACTGTATAATCGTTTATCTTTTGTCCTTTTGTAGCTGTGGTCTGTAGGTTTGTAAGCACTTAATACAGAGCAAGCCTGGTCAAGCATAAGGGCATCTATGCATTATTGAAATATGAATACACATTTTTTTATATTTCTTTCTATTTAAATCTGTTTAACCCAGAACACAATCCTTATATGCAGTCAGTTAGATACGAGATTTCTGTCACAAATACTGGCTTTCAAAATCCTTGGGCAGATTACATCATACAGAAAGGAAAACAGAATAGCTAGTTTTCTTCAGTAATAAAAAGTTTGTGGAAGGAAGCAATCTGAACCCTGCTCTGATCTGCTAGGAAAGCACTCTTTTCTCACTGTAGGAATAGTAAGATTAACAGAAAATAAGAGTCACTGCTAGATGTTACTCTTCACTGGTTCTAGCACTCGGTAGAATTAACAAGAAATGTATCTCTCCTGAATATTTTAAAATTATTTTAGGTATTTTTATGCCTTTTATATACTGATGCACACTTTTACTCTATTTGCAGGGTTCCAGTTAAAAAATTTTCAGGATCATGATTTTTATCATAACGGCATCTGTCCCAAAATTCTTGCTTTGTAGCCAGGGATTTCATTAAAAGTTGCAATGGAAAGTGTTTCAAGATTATAAAAAGAAAATTATCATACTTCTTTTCCTCTAATAAAATGATTACTGTTATGAGGAAGAGAAATATTTCTAGCAGTATGAATGGCTCCTGACTGTGATAGCTCAAGACCACTTACGGAAATTTCCTTTAGTTTATGACAGGTACAACGGTATGGAGAATTTTACACCTAGTGTAGACTTTAAATGTTCCATATAGAACTATATGAGATCTACTTACCAAAATATTTTATCGTATCTGGTAGCTTGGTAGTTTAAATTTGTTGTTACTGTGACATTATTTTTTTTTTTAATCTATTCCACCTGAATGTCAGAAGGTCCTCTTTCTGTATGGAAGGCAAACTTGATGATGTACCTAAATAAAAAAGAAAGTTAAACATTTTGCTCAAAACAGAAGTATGCCATGTCTGAGAAAAGGGGCTTAGCATTCTTTCTCTTCAACCTTTAATGTCATAACATTCCCAGTAATGAACATAGGGCTTTGATTACATTGGATGAGAAAGGGATGTAATGGATGATGTGAATATCATTCCATTGAGCTCTTCAGCTATTATCTCTTCCCATCAAATGCAAATCACTAACCATATTACAGTTTAAAGTCTCTTTTTTTATATGTTACAATAAATCGTCTGAGACGGCTTAAGGAATCAGAATTTATATTTTATTTTCTTTCTTGACGCATAAATTCAACTCAGCTTAAATCAAGTAGTTGAGCTGAGATTCCTGTTCTGCATGCTAGTCTGCCAATTGTCAGCAACAAGGTGAATGTAAAACAAAACTAGTACCTCAGTATGTGATTGCATCTTATTGTAAATAATTTCAGTAATGCCATAAAGCTACTTGGAGAGTGAAAGTCAATTGAAGGTAAGTCTCTAAAATGCTTGAACTGCAAACTTAAGAAAAAAGAGCAAAAAGCAAAGAAATAAGACATAAAAATTTTGCAGTCATGCATTTAAATATTTAAATGTCACCTATAGCATAGTCATTAATCATAAAATACAAACAGGAGGAGCATTTCCAGAATGAAGACTTGATAACTCTGATAAGTTCAGAAAGTGGATGTCACCCTGTACCTTGTCACTGAGTACTGAAGAAAATCTGAAGTCTCAAAGTGAAATACAATCTAAAGAACTGCATCTTCTCATTTCATATGTTAACAGGGTATTTTATATGGCTATAATTTCGTCTCAGATGACTTGAAAATTGCTCTAGGCCGGCATGAAGCATTGAAGGCGATAATGCAAAATACACATTTTTTCAACATCTGTTTCTCAACTTGATTGTTTTGCATAGTTCATTTCTATTCATTCCCAGATACTAACGTGATCATTTCAGTTCTGAAAACAAAATGTACCCTCGCAGGTTTATAGCACCTGCACCACAATAGCTGAGACAAAGAGTTCACTCAGTTTTTTTAATATATTTCAAATAAGGAACAATCTTCAGGGAAATAAGGAAGCATAGATAAAATATGCAGTCTTACCCATTTGTCTGAATAAGTGCAATTTAAAAGTAAAGAAGTGTCATAAAAGAGGAGAATGAAACATAAAATAGAGTATTAGAAAGCTGTGGAATACAGAATAATACCTTTGCTTTTTTAAAGTCAGTGACAGGCTTGAGTGTTTAAAGTTTATTATGTGAAATGAGCCAGATGAAATAATTATTTATCATTGACTAGCAGAGAGTGAATTCTAAATGGAAAGCAGTTTTCAATTAACCGGTCATGCTACACTTAACTGAAGTTATGTTGCAGAATCAATCAAGAAGAAATGTTATTTGCCAATGGTTCATGAGCTGGATGGTTCTTATTTTAAAACTAAAATGCTGTTTTAAAGGCGGGGGCTAGGTGGGGGCTGGTGATAAAATGTGCATCCCATTGTAGAAAGAAAAAAATAGCAAAAGTCTTTTGACACTTGATGTAAAATTTCAGAATACTTTGATGAGATGAGTTATAGCTGTTGGAATCTAGCATCAGATAATTGTAGTGTTATCTTTCTAACACAATTCCACAGCTACTTCTATAATCAAAATATTGAGGTCTCTAAATTATCTCAGGCTATGAAAATGAAAGTAGTATGTAAATATAAGTGAATATGCCAAGCACACTCTTCAGATTCAACGATAAAGTCCCCACAGAACTGGTGTCAATGGCAAATTTCCCTTATCAGTGAAGGCATCATCGAAACTGATTGCTTTGTTCTTTCAATCTTCTTTACTGTTCGCCTGCAGAATTTCTGCCTTTTACCTTTGTTTCACATGTTGACTATGAGTTTGGGATCACAGAATCATAGAATGAAATAGCTGAAATGAGCCAGTAGTGTGCCCGGGTGGCCAAGAAAGCCAATGGCATCCTGGCTTGCATCAGAAGCAGTGTTGCCAGCAGGAACAGCGAAGTGATCATCCCCCTGTACTCAGCACTGGTGAGGCCGCACCTTGAGTGCAGTGTCCAGTTTTGGGCCCCTCACTGCAAGAAAGACATTGAGACCCTGGAGCAGGTTCAAAGAAGGACAAATCTGGTGAGGGGTCTGGAGCACAGGCCTTATGAGGAGTGGCTGAAGGAGCTGGGATTGTTCAGTCTGGAGAAGAGGAGGCTCAGGGGAGACCTCATTGTTCTCTACAACTACCTGAAGGGAGGTTGTAGTGAGCTGGGGGTCAGCCTCTTCTCTCATGTAACTGGTGATAGGACTAGAGGGAACGGCTTCAAGCTGTGCCAGGGGAGATTTAGGCTGGACATTAGGAAATACTACTTGTCTGAAAGAGTGGTCAGGCACTGCAATGGGCTGCCCAGGGAGGTAGTGGAGTCACTGACCCTGGTGTTCAAGAACGTTTGGATTTTGTGTTGAGGGATGTGGTTTAGCGAGTACTACTGGGGATAGGCGGATGGTTGGACTGGATGATCTTCAAGGTCTTTTCCAACTTTGGTTATTCTGTGATTGGTTTCTACTTAGACATCAAGACATCAGCTGAGTTGTGCTATCCAGCCAAATCCTTATCCATCAAGAGGTCCATACCTCAAATTCATGTCTCCTCAGTTTAGAGACAAGGATGTCATGAGAGACGATATCAAATGCTTCACACAAGTCCAGGGAGATGATAGCAGTTGCCTCTACCTTATCCACTAGTGGTGTAACCCCAACATAGAAGGCCATCAAATTTGTCTCACACACACTTTGCCCTTAGTGATGCCATATTGCCCATCACCCATCACATATGTCTTAACAACTGCTTAGAAACTCGTTAGTTTCTAGGAGGATCTGCTCACGATATTTCTTGGCATAGAGATAAGACTGACTACCCTGTAGTTCCCCAAGTCTTCCTTTTTCCCTTTTTAGAAATTGAGAGAATATTTTCCCTTTTTCAGTCAGGGGGAACTTTACCAGACTGCCATGACTTTCAAATATGATGGGTAGTGGCTTAACAAATTCTTTCACCAGTTCCATCAGGAGCTTTGGACACCCCTTATTACTTCCCATTGATTTGTGCACCTTGAGGTCCCTTAGATGGTTTCAAAACAGATCTTACCCCACAGTGAGTGGTTCTTCATCATCCTTTGGGCAGTGTGACTAAAGCACTTGTCGGTGAAGACTGAGGCAAAAGGTCATTGAGTATCTCATCCTTCTCTATATCTCAGGTAACCTGATCCCTCATTTCCTACCAGAGAGGACTCATTTTCCATAGTTTTCCTTTTATTACTGACATTCCTATATTCCCATTCATAGAAGCTTTTCTTTTTGCCCTTGGTGTCCCTGTCCGGTATTAATTATATCAAGGCAATGTCTCTTAATTCCTCCCAGGTTACCCGTCCTTGCTTTCACCCTTCTGTCCAAGAATGAACAGTTTTAGTTCATTTTTTAACTTGCCTATGAAGCACTCAAGCAGGGAATGCAATTTGTTCTGGCATTATAGTTGCTTAGTTTAAAGAGCTTTTTGTCTGTGAGTCAGACCTTCAGGATCTTTTGTAATGTAAACAAATATAAATAATGCTCATGTCTTGAAATAGCCTAGGTTTTTTGTGCTAAAGCTTTCAGTGGAGAATTGATATGTGTATGAGGAAAGTGGGATATGATATTCAAGATAATTGCAAACATTCTTAAAATTTAGTTTCTTTCTAATAATAAAGTAAATGGTTAATTTTATTAATTTGATTTAATAAATACATGTTATTACATAACTATACAAAAAGCAGTGATAATTACTGAGTATCTAAAGGGAATTCTATTTCCCACAAATGCACACAGTCCAATTAAATTGAAAGAAACACCTTATGTGCTTAACAGTAAGCGTGTGTGTAAAAATTTGTAGATACGACAAAATACACTGAAGGAAACACTACTTAGAGAAAGAAGCAAACACATTCTTCTAAATATCACCACTGAATCACACTAGGATTTCAAAGCACTTTATAAAAGCTAATTAATTATCTCTCATCTATACTGAACTCTTAATCAGCGGAACTCAGCATCTTTTATTGCAATTAATTTCATCTCCTGGAACTCTAGTAAGATACAGACAGGAAAATGCTATTGTCCTCTGAGGTTTTGAAGGAAGTTAGAAGTGCCTCCCTTTAGTTATGCTACAAATTACCTACTGGTTCCAGCACTTACCTCTTATACAGAATTGATGCAGCAGCCTGGCAGAATGGATAGCAGGGATGAACACTTTCTAGGTGCTTGAGTTGTTCTTAAAACAATGACCATTAAGAAAACAGATGTAGGATAAAATACTCTGAATCCTTGAGCAAACTACTAAAAACAAAGTTTCATTAAATGCTATTTCTAACAATTTAAGACTTCTCCACCTTGTTTTGTAGCATCTTAATTGAAATCAATTTCAGACACTTTCAGTTGCTGTGTAATTTGAGTATGCAATCAACACCAAAGGCCAACAGAAGGGTGGTGCTATCAGAGGCAGGATGTGTTACAAAGGGAACTATATCTTGTGCAACTGAAAAGGCATTATCCCAAGAAGGCTATGGCTGTATCTCAATACAGATTTGGTTACAGTCTTCCTGTTGCTAGCCACATATGGTGCAGTCACTAAGTTTGCTGACATGGCTATATGTATCAGATACCATTTGCCTCAAAACTAATGCAAGGTTTTCAAAATTCTGGTGAAAGGAGCGCCTAGCATACAACCAGTGCAGGATGATGCTGTGGCAGTTTCACACTGGTGGCCAGTTAAGAACCGCACAGCTGCTCCCTCACTTCCCCTCCTGAAGTAAGCAAGAGGAAAAATGTCATGAAATAAATTCTCATGGGTTGAGATAAATACAAGGGTATCATTAGCTAATCTCTGTCACAGGCCAAACATACTGAGAACAAGTGAGAAAATTGTAATTTATTGCCTACCAATAACAAGAGCAGTGAGAACTAAAAGCAGTGCAGGGGAACAGGGAAAGGGGGCTGCAGCCAGTCCTTAATGCTTTGTCTCTTCTGCTCCTTCATCATCACTTTGTCCCTGTTCCACCATGGGGTCCTTCCTCCATCAGATGCTGTCTTTTCTGAACTGATCCCATGTGGGCTTCCCATAGGCTGTAGCTCTTCAAGCACTGCTCCCACATGAGCCTATAAACGTACAGGATTTTAATACAGCTGGGCAGCTCAGCTCCACCACGCTGCTCTCTCACTCTCCTCTTCAGAAGGAAAGTAGGAGAAAAATTAATGAAGAAAAAGCTGATAAGTTGAGATAAAGAAAGGGAGATCACTCACCAATTAACGTCATGGGCAAAATGGAGCCAGTGTGGAGAGGTTAATACAATTTATTGCTTTTGTGAATAGATGAGAGCAGTGAAAACTAAAAACAAACTAAAAGCACCTTCCCTCCCCCACCTAACCTCTTTTACCTCCTGCCTTGAGTGATGCAGGAAAACAGGGAAAGGAGACTGGAAAAACAGCCTCTCAATTCTTGATGCACCTGAAAATACTGCTTAGTCATGTGTTTATCTTCTGGTGTTAGCTCCTCCCACGCAACTTCTTAGGGAAAAGCCAAAAAATCTTATATGATTCACCTTATTAAATAGCAGGTTCTTATGTTCCAGCTGCTATCTGAGGTCACAGTTGGGAATTATTTTATGAGTTAACAAATGATTCTCCCAGGGCTAAGGATTCCATCCTGACAGCAAGAGTTTCTGTGGCACCTTTTCTGTCTCATTTTCCTGCCTTCCAAGAATGGGATAGAAAAAATGCTTTTGGATACTTACAAAACCCTTTGAACATTGCTAGTAGCCAATGGTTGATATGACCCAAGACTCTTCCAAGAGGATCTGTTCCACGACATTCCCAGGCAAATAGGTGAGGTTCACCGGCCTGTAGTTCCTTGGCTCCTCCTTTCTCCTTTTCCTGGAAATGAAAGTGACATTTCCCTTTTTCTACTCCCTGGAGACTTTGCCTGACAGCCACAGCTTTTCATATATGATGGAGAGTGACTTGGCAACCACATCAGCCAGCTCTGGGAAGAACTCTGAACTCTAGAACTCCGAATTCTGGGAAGAAGAGATAAAATGTTTCTTAAGATAGTGATATTAAACAAATCCCTTTTGAAAATAAAATATTTGCCTCATGGCCAAAATGTCTATTTCACAAACACTGTATCAATGGCCTAGTGATATGTAGAGAGTTGTCTTGGGTTGTCATGTATCTTTCTCCAGTCCTTGATAATCAAACCAGCTCTGGACATCTGGTACTTATCTTTTGCAACTATTAAGATCTATTGTAAATGTAAGAGAGCCCTACTCCCATTTCTTAAAGTATACAAAGCCATGAGAGAAAAAAATATATATTAAAAAAAGGATTTGAAAAAAAACAAAAAAAAGATCTGTAAACTCTTTTGGAACCCAACCCACACACATTTGCTACTGGCTCTGCGGCCGAACTCCTCTCAGATTATGAAAAAAATTCTCTCTCTCCCTTAACTCCTCTTTTCCCAAATGACTCCTTTCAATATTATCAATATCATATTATTAGCCTATGAAAATTGTCAATACAATGTAAAGTGTTTGGGTCCGGTTTCTATCGTTATAGCCACAACATATGAAAAAATGGGTATTGTGAAAGAAGGCTGTCATGGATATGACATTCTGAGTTTTACATTTCATACTGAGATAAGGATTTTCTGAAAACTCTCTGTTTATCAAACCATTTGCAGAAAAGTGGAAACCAAAAGAGTGTGTGAGAGTTGATTATATTATGTGCATGTACTGAAACAGTTAGATACTCATAAACACAAAAATTTTTTGCTTATACAATGTATACATGCACACATATAATCAAATTAAAAGTAAACTACAGTAAGTAAACATTATCATTGTCTTTATGGTGGCTATTCCAGTCGGAATAACCTGATGAAACTTTGTGTTTTTAGCTCGAAGAGAAGAACTAGAATTGCATTCCTTTTCAATTGCAAATGTTACTCAGCACTTTTGGTTCCAGAGATGGGCATTGGCATTATTAGTAATTTAATGCATGTCCTGACACAGAAATTCAGACAAAAAATGTTCTACCAACAATGCAATGTTCCCTTCTCCTGCTGTGTAACTGTACTTAATTCAAATCTGAAGGTGATTCACTAGGAAAAAAAGTAAATCGTCTTGACCTGAGAATTATTTATAACCTAAAGATTTAGGCCCAAACTCAAAGTGATCTTAAGAACCTAAAACAGCCAAAGGACTGAGCTACATAGATCTAAAAATATTGCAGTGTGATTACTTCTGTTGGAAACATTTGCATTCCTTCTGTGTATGAGAGAAATTGAAGTATATTGAAAGCCTCCAACAGACCTAACTGAGTATTCTTTAAACTTCATTCACTATAACAATTATTGACATCTTACCTTTGTGATGCATACACTGCATTCAAGAAATGTCAGCACCTTGTGGAAATAGCTTATCCCGCCTGCCTGGGAACAAATTCAGGTCTCTACTAGAAGTGTGCTGTCTATTGGGTAGGTAGTACTAGTGAAACTGCCTACATTCCAAGGCTAAATGACATAATAGATGTATGTCTGCACCTTAAATTAAAAAGAGAGGTGGAGGAGCTTATGAAATGGGTAATGAGAGAAGAATTGTGACAATTCCCAAACATAACCAGGTCCTTTGTAAACACTAGACAATATGAGCTCTGATTGTTAATGATAGTGTTGTACTTGCAGTCTGAGACTATAGTCAAGAAACGTGGTATGACTGGTCTGCCTTCGTAATTCTGCTTCAGACATCAGCAAAATCTATACCCACGTTCATGGACTAGCTGTTTTCAATGAACTGTTTTCAGATTCCAAATGAAATACGTGCAGCCCCACAACATCCTTCAGGAGCACCTAGGAGTCTTGTTTTGGAATTTTTTTTTTTTTTTTTTTTTTTTTTTTGTAGTATGTGGCTAAAAAGGGAAAAAGGGCAGTCCAGTTCTGCTAGGATCTGGTTTCCTTCCCATGACCTTCAGGCTACCCAGACTGATATTAGAATTTCACCAGTAATAAAAAGATTGATTTGCAAGACATTCCAAGTAGTGAGATGCTTAAGGGTGTTCAGCATTGGGATAGAAATCATAGAATCATTTGAGTTGAAAGGGACCCTTGAATCCATTTAGTCCAACTGCCCTGTGATGAACCTACAGCTCCCTCAGGTTCTCAGAGCCCTGTCCAGACTTACCTTGAGTGTCTGCAGGGATGGAGCATCCCCACTTCTCTGTGCCAAAGCTTCACTACTCTTATCATAAGAAGCTTTTTCTTCATATCCAGTATAAATCTCCCCTCATTTAGTTTGAAATCATTTCCCCTTGTTCTATCACAACAGATCCTGCTAACAAGTCTGTCCCCTTCCTTCCTACAGCCCCCCTTTAGATACTGAAAAGCAGCAGACTGTGAGACTACAGCACTATCAGGGATTGTAGGAAGACTGTGGACAAGTCAACGCAAACTAGTCAAAGGGATGAGTTTCAGGTGTGAGCTGGCCTGGGAGAGGCGTGTTTGAACCCACTTTGGCTGAAGGGTAATTCAGACTTGGCTCTCCTGTTTCCTAGGGGAGCTCTGTAAGCTTTAAGCTATTAATTGCAGTTAATTATCACATGATGTCTGCAACCAGCTTTCGCCATTTTTCTATCTTAACAACAAAGATGTGACTGAGCTTTCAGAATGAAGCCAATGTATTTCACGTATTTTAAGTGTATCCCGTGAAATGAATTCTTCAAGCTTTTAGCAAAGACAATGATCCATATTAAGTACAAAACAGATGAAATTGTGGCTGTTGCTTGGCCTCTAACTCTGCCTTGCTGCTCTGTTGAACTTCTTCAACAGTGGCTGTGTATGAAGTTCCTTTCAGCTCCCAAAAGATATATGAAACTCCAGTAGAAGAAAGAAGTAGGTCAAATTCAGTACCTTAAGAACCTGAATCACACAATTTTAATCACAATACCCTTTGACAGAGGTTAAATTTAATGCCTTAATTATAGAAAACAAAGCAGCTTTATTTATAATTCACATGCACATTGGAAAGGAAAATAAAAATACTGACAGCCACTGACCCTACAATAAACCACATATCCTGATCTGTCCTTCATTTTTAGCAGGTTTTTTTGCCTATAATATAAATATCTTCTAGCTTTAGGGTCACAGAATTTGGTCCAGAATTGCATTGTGCTGGACCAAATCATACGGCCACTTTTACCTTAAGCAGTGTGGTTACAGATGGAGAATTAACTAAGAAATACTACTGTGAAAAAAAAAAAAAGTAATGTCAACATTTTATTGGTGCTGAGGTAGCTTGTCTTATTGCGGAATAGTCAGCCAAGATATTTGCACAGTTTGACTAGTGATAATTCTCACTTTTATTGAGATTTTACACAGAAGGAGCAAGGAAATAGCAAGCAGTATCATCTACACATCACAGAATATCCAGGTTACACAGTGGCAGCAGCAAATGCCAACACACAGTACGGAGCAGTTGCATAGAACCCCAAAGCTTAGTCAGTCACACAAGTAGTGCGAGTCGTGCAGGCATCAGAGGAATTGTGTTAAAAAGGTGAGTATTAAAAAGGAGACAGTGTTAGATTTAATGTAAGCCCTCTTCTGACAAAAGGGAGGGATGGCTGCCAATAGATACAGGGGTGGTGAAACTGGCAACGGTAAAACTGGTGGAGCGAACTGGAAAAACAGTCTCTACTGGTGAATGAGTGACAGGATCAAATCTTTCACCTTCCCCTTTATTGAATTTAAGGACTGTGATTTTGTCCATTAAGGATGTGATAGACAGGTCTGTTGGCTACTTCAATAGGAAGATGCTGCTGTGCCTCGTTAGGTGCTAAGGCTGATTTTGTCCGATTGAGTTTATGCTCAATCAGGAGGGATCCAATCACAGATGAGTCCTGCAGGAGGCTAAGGATGGTCATTTAATGAGGAAAACAAACACACTTTTAAACAGGGAGCTGACATCTAGACATTCAAAACTTAATGTGTCTCACAGCTCACATGAGTTACTGCAGGAAGAAAGAGAAAAAAACAACAACAAAAATTTCTTGCTTAATTTTGGCAAAGGAAATGGTGCAGCTCATGTTAGCTTAGTAAAATCAGCACCCACAGTTTCTAAACAATAATACAAGAGTATGCAATTATATTTGACTGCAGGACAAGAACACACAGTTGGTTTTCATCTCTTCTTTACATTACAGAAACAGCTGAAATTTTTATTTTACTTTTTTTTTTTTCCCTACACTGTCAATGCATTTCTGCTGCTTGGAAAACTAAATAAATGGTTGCAAACAAGACACATCAGAACTTTTTTCAGACTAAGCTGCCAAGAATAAATATTTCAGTGTTCTCTAGCTGTATGTGACAGTTCATGAGTGGCGAAGTTGAGATCCAAAATTTACCTGTAAGCATTGCTGCTTTTCTAAAGCCCCCTCAGTTCTCCCTCTGCTCTTCACAAACATCTCATTCAGGTACACCACAAAAAGAGCTTGTGCATACGTGTAAAGACTTGCATAAACAGTTCACAAAAGAAGAGCTAATGTTTGGGCATGTTTTGTTGGTTATTTTTTTGTTTGTTTGTTTGTTTTCTGCAAATTATAGCTACAGATTAATGTGGATTATTTTAAAAAAGTTATTAGCATTCCCTACTGAACATTCTGAAATGAATAAAATGATAAGGAGTAGATACATTTCCGAAAGATTAAATAGTTCTGCTTTGAAAATCTACACTTCAGCTACTGCTATGCTACTCAAACTGGAAATATACCTACACTTACAGCACTTACTGATTGCTCTTAGACTAGAGCTGATTCAGAAGTAGTTGATCTTGGTATTTCTGAACATATGCTATTGATCCCCATCTGAATAAATAAATTTTTCAT